ACCAGAGACCTAGAAAGCATGGTCTGTGAAGAAAGGTTGAAAACTCTGGATGGTCAGATGGGGGAACGGAGGTACAGGAGCCTTCAAATATGTAAAAGGCTGCTGCAGAGAGGCAAGGATTGCTGTTTGCTCTGCGTCTGGTGTAAATTTACTTAACTATGGCACTTTTGATATTGTCTTGGAGAAGTCCATAGACTGAGGCTACAGGCACCCTAAAGTGTATTAATTGAGTGTTATGTTTGAGTGGTTTGAGCTCTGATGCTCTAGCATAGTTCTTTTGGATATAAAGATTTACTGCAGATATTTAATATGAGGCACATGAGACAGTTAATTTTTGGGATCTATTCAGTAACAGAGTCTTAGAACCCTATGGGTTTTGAAAGAATATTTCAGTACTCAAATGGTTCCATCCAAATAGCGCCATGAGATGTTGTAAAGTTATGTGGATTCAGATAACTTAAAATCTTGAAAAAATTATGGAGGATCTGGTCCAAAGATGACCACTCAAAAAGTGTGCATTATTGTTACCATGTTATGAGTGTCTTATGTTTGCAGATATTGATAACAAACTTTTACTTAAGTGATGTAGATATTTCAGGGACTGTACTGTAATGTCAAAAGATGCTTTTAAGTGTGAAAAATCTGTTCTGATAACTGTTAGCCTTTTTTAAGCATAGGTACCGGTCACTACAGTGTAATTGTACTGTGCTTCACCTTCCTAGTGAAAAAGTATTTCCGCTTCATGCACTATGAATCTCCAAAGTTGCAACTCTAGGCCATTCCCCTTTATTTTACCATGCAGCAAAATTGAGAAAAGTCTGATTCCATCACCTTTTAACTTCTCTTCACATAGTTGCAGGTTGCTATTGAATTTGTCCCTTAGCTTCCTCTTCACAAGAGCAAACAAGGCCAGTTGCCTCAACCTCTGCTTGTGCAACAGTGTCATAGGACCCTAGAAAATTAGGAGGCCATCTGCATGACCCTCTCCAGTTTCTGAACATCCTCTTAAACTGAGGCATCTCAAAACTGCACATTGTGTTCCAGGTGTATATGGTTTCAGTCAACAAATACGGTTTCAATTTTGCTTATCGTTGCGATACAGGTAATAATTAAAAGCATTAATCTAAAATCAACACTGAGTTTGTGAACAAAGCTGTTCTGTTATATGGAAACCCAAGGTGGGGGAAGAAGAAAACTGCAAAGAAGTGAAAAAGCCTTCTGAACCTGTTTCATAAAAATGGTTCTTTATTTGGCTTGCCTGAAATCTTGAAAGATATTACATATGGACACACACATGACTTCTGTGCAGATTGACTTAATTTAGCTCAATTTTGGCAGACCACTAAAATAAAAAATTGACAAGAGAGCTAATTTCAAACTCAAAGACGTAGATTGATGCCTTAAAGTAATTAGCAGCTATAGCCTTGTTGGAGTCTGTAAGAAACTCAGTAAAGCAAAATATTCTTATGAAGAAATTATACACCATGAGTTGACGCGGCTCTGCCCATTGAAAGATCCTTCTTTTCTTTTCTTTAGACTGTGTCCACAAAAGAAATTGTGTGCTACAGCTCCAAGTGGGGCTGAGTAGAACCAGCTGCCTGCTGTGTTTTCAGAGCACAGGATGGGTTTGGCTAGAAGGATTCCCCATTGCTCTGCCTCCCTCCTTTTCTCTGAGCACGTTACAGTCCCTGATGTAATGTATGCTTCTGGCATAGCAGCCCCTCCCTGGACCCTGAAAGTCTCAGACCCAGAAGCTCACACCAGTTTGTATTCCTCCTCTAACATTTTTAGCTTGTATTCTCTCATTCTCTGGTGATTCCCAGTATTCTCTGCTCTCTACACAAATGCTGACCATTGTCTCCAGCTTTCTTTAGCTAGAAATGAGGCTCTTAGGTCCCCTTTATTCTGACTATTTCTAATTAAAGTAGATTAAAGAAGACAGTGGTGACCATTGCCTATCTGAAAGAAAACCTTGTATAAACATCATCAAGGGAAGATTGCACTATAAATATTTATAGAAGGCATTCTAAAGACATAAATTAGGGCACACTGGTTTTGAGCATGTTACATGAAGCTGTGATCATCAAGGAAAAAAGGCAGAACCCTAATTTTACTTTCACTAAGTATAATACCTTGTATTAATAATTATAAAATTTCGTAAAGGCTTAAGTGTCTTGTAGGTTGTTGCCCTGGTTTAGAAGCACATATCTGCTAATGCCGATTATAGCATCACAAGCTGTAATTCCGAACTTCAGGTTTCAGTAAAATAATCTGGTATTTGGGAAAATATAGATTCAGATCCATCAGATGGCATGATATTTGCACTTTTTTGCACATTTTTGAGTTACATATTTTATAGATCAGACGCTGTTTACAGCTACATAAAATATCACTCTACAAAGTTATGAAATGGAGAAAATAATTGTTCACAGAAGATCATAAGGCAGAATGACATCTTAAGGAAAAAAAGATTGTGTACTTTTGGTGGGAAAAAGAGTGGGAAAGAAGCAAATGATGGAATGAAGAGAGGAGCGTTTTATGTGTTTGCTAAGCAGGCACTGAGGAAGAAAGCTCTTTTTGCAGCAACCAGCTTTCTCTAAATGGCAAAAAAACGCAACCTTTAAAAATGCTTGTTATTATCTGCCTGTACACTCTGGGTAGTAGATCATGGAATGTTATTTGCTTAATATGCCCAGAGAATGTTCTGAAAAATAAGTCACCTAACAGGCAGGATCCAGGGCTGTGACCTCAGAGCCTAGTTAATTCTGCCAGCCCTGCTGAAAACATTTCCATATGGTTGCACTGACAACTTTACCATAAAACAGAATTCTTCAATCTTTGTTAATTTATGCAATCAAGTGGGTAAAGAATGCTGCACTTTTGCAAATAAAAAGAAATATAGATAATACTGAAAATTCAGCTTAAAGACAAACTAATAACCTGTTTGGCAATACCTGTTTGGCATTGGTACTGCCATGAGAGACTGGGTTCAGAGGCAAGTTTTAGGACACATCACAGTTTTTCTGAACTTTTCTTTTTTTTTTCGCCATGAACTAGGATTTAGAATTTGGCATTTGACCAGTGTTCAGAAGAGCAGTCCTTGAAAGTCCTTGTCATTGACAGGGATTGATGGCTAGTCACGGATGGTTCTGTGCTGGAAAGTTGCATGACTTGTAAAGCCATTTAAAAAACACACTCTTTTTCCATTTAGCAATTGAGATTTACTAAACCAGCAGTTTCTTCAGTGGCTTGAGTCTGTCAGGCAACAACTAAACTAAGAAAGTGGATATTTGAAAATATCTCTTGGTGAACCATTCTTACTTTCATATTCCTGTTAATTTGCTGCAGAAGGACAGGTTTGACATTATCACCTGTGATTTTTTCTGTTTCACAAATCAGACAGCTTGGATTTAGAGATACTGTCAAGTATTATTGACAAGACCTAGACTGCTCTTTACTGTTAGATTTCAATGGACTTCTAAAGATAGAAATGTAAGAAAATAGTTTTTCTTTTACCTCTTCTACATATGAAGATCTATTTTTTGTATTTTTGGAGGCGAGAAACTGTAGAAACAGTAAGTCAGTGCATGCACTGTAGTAAATGCCACCAGAAGGCTCTTGCTGTTCTATGTTCCAATTCTGGTTCTTGTCAGGAAATACAACATAATTGACAGTAATATGGTAGCTGGCCTGGCTTCTTGGCGTGATTTAATTCCCCTAACTATGATTCTGCCACACGTGGCTTTGACATAACATTCAGCTGTATATCTTTGGAGTAAACAGAAGGCATTAGGGCCTCTTCACCTCGTAATTGTAACATAGAAACCTACTGGAAGATCTATGAATGTCTTTCATCTGTTTCAGAGGACCATCCAAAACAGAAATTGTAATAGAGAATGAGGAAATGCAGCATCAAAAATGGCTCAATCTGCACTCAGACTGGAAGAATAAAAATGCCTCCACTTTACATGCACTTCTGGTGAATGGGTAAGTAACATGAGATTTATTTCACTGCTGCGGGTAGTCATTTATCAATAGCGGGTGACAAACTCCTTTGGTAAGCTCTTTTATCCAAGGTATCTTGTGTATAAATCCCAGCACATACTCATGTGAGTTGTTAAAGTACAATCTACAACAATTTTAGTGTCTACTACAACTGTAGTCTCTTTTGAGTCCACCTTGTGTATCCTCATTCTGCTAGACTAACAGAATTTGAGTGACATAGAGGTGATGCCTTTGAAGTATCCGGACCAGACAACTTCATTAAATCCCTGCTGACCAAGAAAGTCTAGTAAGTACTATATAGCAAAACCTGCAGCAACATCTTACCATCCTCTGCAGCCCATATAGTTTGGATTCATACATTTGGAGCAACCACAGCTTCTTCAGCAGAAGCTATATCCACTTGCAGTAGGTTTCCTTTGGAGCTCCTCTGGCTTCAGATGGACTGAACAGGTAGTTGGTAATGAGAAGCTAGGATCTCATGGTTGAGACATTCAGAGTGTGACTTTGAGACCGAAGAACAATGAACTTAAACATCCAGAACAAAACTGGGAGAGCCACTTAGTCCCCACCTGCAACTGCATTCTTCAAAAAGTAGGTTCGTTGATTCCCTGTTCTCTTTCAAATGCCTAGGAGATTTCAGAACATCCTTCTGCCATAGAAAAATCCTTCTGTTTCACAAGGAAAGACTGTCTTGGCTAAATGCAGAGGTACAACATATGTCAAGATTGCAATCTGAGGAATACACCTACTTTTCTTTTGCTTGGCTCCATTATTTTCTGTAGTGAAACTTTCTATAAGGGCAGAATACTAAAAAGATTGTGTCTGCAAGTGCCTACTTTTGCTTTCCTACATCTCAGCTTTGTACTAGTTCTGTTTTATATTAGTATTTTCCCCATTTATTTAAATTCATTTTTATTTCTTCATCTAGAAGAAGGACCAGTACAGGATGGTTCCTGATACTTGAAAATTTTCTTTTTAACTCTTTTCCTTTCTCACTGTCTCTTTCCACTGGCCTAATGGTATCTAAATGCTTTTCTCCAGAGCAATGCAAGAATAAACATCTGGGTTGTGACCAGATGCAAAGGCTGGTCCACAGTCATATTCTGTTCAGTCACTGAAGTGCAAAGCAGAAATTTCAACATACTTTGCCATGTTTCAAAGTGGTCTACTAGGAAGTATGCGTGAAAGGATGGATTTGGAGCCTCTGAGTTAAAAGAACTAGTAGCAAAAGAGCTAGTTTTGCCCAAAGTACAAGTTAAAGGAGAGAAATTGATAAAGCTATTACAGAGATAAAAGTAATACGTAGGAACAGATGCTCCAGTCTCCCCAAGTCCATGAAATGGGTAACAAGAAGTGAGAAGCTAAGGCCTTGCATGAAGAGTGAGGCTGATTTTGTTTTTGCTGCATCAGGCATCCTGTTTAGGTGGCTCTCACTGGCTGTGCATGTGCTGCAGGTCAGGTGCACCCCATACCAATCTCCCAGTCATCCCACTGGAGGACCTGCAGGCTTGCATCACTTCTCATGTGCCTGGCTTGCTTTCTAGTATAAAGCAGATTGCACAGTGTTTAGTCTCTTCCCAACATGAAGCCAAGCCAAGCCCAGGAGCTGGGAAGTGCTCTTGAGCCCTGCAGTCTAGGTGTAGTCATCTGGATCAGCTTCAGCATGTAAAACGTCTGTGCCTTGGAGTATGTTGCATGTCTAAAGGAGCTGTCAGGCTCCTGGACTGCTGGGAACTCGGGCAAGAACTAACAAATGCACCACTAGTTTCATAAAGGTTTGATAACAGGGACAGGCAGTGTGCACCCTGCACAGTGCAGGCTATGCACACATAAAAGCTTAAAGTTTTCTCTTTTAGAGCTGGGTATTTGGTAAGTCAAAGAAAAAAGCATGAAACATGAGTGTGGCTGGTCTCAGTTATATTCTCTGTATTTTTTGTGGAGTGCCAATGCCCCTCAAAATTGTGCACACAATTTTCTTTCCTGAAATTTGTGGACTGTCTCTAGAAACAGAATTTTATGGTCTGTGCTTCTGGTCTGTACCGAAAGTAGCCTGATTTGCACAGAATATGAATGGGGTGCATGGAATGCAAAGGACAGAGGTTTGGTCAAATCACAGATTGAAGCCAATCTGGTGATCTTGCTGGCACTCTGTTGTGCCCACATTAGTATCTATGACTTAAAATCAAATGCAGCCTCTTTTAGGTGGTTGCAATTTTAAAGATGCTGCCTGCCTACTGAGATTACAGCCTTCAAAGAATTAACTGGGGAACAGCTCTTCTGTGTGTCCAGTCTAATTTAGCTCTACATCTGCCTCAGAAAAGCACGTATACAGTAGGAATGAAAAGTGGGGGAACTAAAAAGGCAGTCAGCTACTGAGCAACAATGCTCGCTGTTTTAACAAGAATCTCCCTCCCTTTGACAAAGAATTTCTTCTTTCCTCTCTCATCTGAAAATTTTCAACAGAAATGATAACTTTTGTTGTTTTAATACTTACTTTTGCAAACTTCTTGGATTTTTTTCAAAACATCCAAACTTTTAGGCCATGAAAGCTCATCTGTTATCAAAGGTATTTCAAAGAAAATTCTGTCCTTCAGCTGTAAGGAAGAGGAGAATGGCAATCTCTGTGCTGTCAGGTGCCATAAATTAAGACTTGACAGACTGTACATCCCAGCTGACCAGAGCTGGATCAGTGCCCAGAGAGCGAGGTAGTCTGCAAAATATGTAGCACCCACTCATGAAATGCATTGTAAAGCTGAACTAATATTTTGAATTATCTCCAGGCAGATGCTGGAAACCATGGATGATCTGGCATAAGAAGCTCCTTGTGTTTCTTTTTACAGTTTGGGGGAATATTTAACAGATGGTTCACAACAACAAATACAATACCTGTGCTGATTTGCAAATTACCAAAAATTACATCAATTAATTGAGATTTCCACCATGTTCTTGTTTCAATATTTAGACAGATGTGTCGAAGCAGAAGCAAAGTGGCTCTCTTTTGCACTAAAGAAGGTAAGAGAGAATAGCATATAAAACAAAGATCTTTTTCAAGATGTGTTAAATTACTTTAACAAATGCAGATGTTTAGTGTGCATTCATTCTGAAATTTGACTAGACTTCTGCAACATCCAGTTTTGCATTGTTTGTTTATTTGTTTTTCCTACTCTATTCAGATTTCATCAGCTTTTCTTACTTTTTGACTACAAGGCTGTGTATTGCAGTAACCCAGTCCTGCTCCCACAAAATGAATTTTGTCAGCAGTCAGGTCCCAAAAATTAATTTGCTAAAACTTCCTGCAGAAAATATCCTTTACCACCAGAGTGATTAGCAGGCTACCTGCCTGGGAGTTGAAGCTGTGATCTGTTTAGTTATGAAGCTCAAGGGGACAGAAGAACCTGAAGCAGAAAGCTACAGACCAAGTCTGTAGGCACAGCAGATTGTGCAAGTTTAAGCAGTTTGAAGATGCAGAAATTCTTCACCTTCAATGAAATCATCTTCTGCAGACAAGGAGAGCTTTGTTGAAGAACACTTAAATTGTGAATTAGCTTGACACAGGGAAAATTAATCACAAAGCATGACCTAAATTTGGGAAACCAATCAAAACATTTACTACTCTTACCAGAAAAAAAATCCTCATAAGAGACTGTCAAAGGTGTTTGCTTCTGGCATACATTGCTTTAAAAACACTTAAACCTCCTTGCCCTCTGAAGTTAAGTGAACACAGTGAGAATTACAAGTTACAAATAATGGTTATTTGTAACCATTGCTCCAATTTATTTCTTCACTACTAAATTCCCACGGGTATATCCCATACCCTTGGGAGGCTGATTGCATAAACTGGTGGTGGTCTTTTGTTCTCTAAATCAGACTGAATATAAACAGGATAAATAATAAGTTTGCCATCTTACAAATCCAGAATATAAAGTGAGACAAAAGTGAAGGGCTAACTATTTCAGAAAAGTAACTGGCAGATGGGAATCTGGTATCAGTTCCCATGGAAGTGGCTTATAAAGTAGAATGGACAGAGCACCGGAATGTCTTCAAATCTTCTCCCTTAGTAATTTCCACAGGCAAAGCAAGCTTGGTGCTGTGTAGCTGAGTAAACAGTCTGACATTCACCTCACATTTGGCTTAAGAAAAGCCTTATTATTGCTGAGCAGATTTTCCAGGAGCAGTTCTTATGGATAGTACAGAGTAGCCCAAACACATTGCTAGCTGACAAAAAGACAAGGACATAAACCCAGGAAACCTTCCCAAGGGCAGCCTGGTGACTCCTGAGAGACAAGAAGTCAGGATCCCAAACTTAGCTTGGTTAATATTTCAGGCTGAGCCAGTCAAAATTAATATCAAGAGAGCAAATCCTTTGATATAAAGGAAGGATGAAAATGGCACAATGTGTTTGATATTATTGTGTGGTTGTTGATGAATGAATTACACTTCATTTACTGTTCAGTGTAATTTCATGACTCTTAATGTCGGTCTATGCCTAGTTTTCTTGCAGAAGGTCTTGTATGCGCTGCCTTTGTGGTAACGATTAACTCCCTTCGGCATCTGTTCCTCTCTAGACTGTGGCCGCCGCCCAGCTGCTCGCATGAACAAGAGGATCCTTGGTGGTAGGACCAGTCGCCCAGGCCGATGGCCGTGGCAATGCTCCCTGCAGAGCGAGCCAAGCGGACACATATGTGGCTGTGTTCTGATTGCAAAGAGATGGGTCTTGACCGTAGCGCACTGCTTTGAAGGGTGAGAGGGTTCCCACAGTTTTACTGTTTGTATAAACTTGTACATCTGAATTACCAACTCTTCCCTCCTCTACCAAACACACTGGGGTTAGGTGATGACCTTTGCGGAATGGCAAATTGCAGAGGCCTGGTTTTAAGGAACTAAAAAAGAAAGTAAATGGTATAAACGAGCATCAGCTTAGGTTTTCACATGCTTTATTATTCATTGCTGGTGTCTCTACTGGTGAAAGTTAAATGAAGGTGC